TACGCATCATTGTCTGGTAGTACGTTAAAAAATGATACAACAATCGTCAAGTTCGCTGTAACGTCACCTAGTGCCTCGTCATCCACGAATTGGCGCCTATGTCAGTAGTCTAATAACTCTTAGCGCGCTGATGGCATGGTTCCAATGCCGCATAGAGAGTTGCTACAATGATATTAGGTTAGCTAAGGTCAGTTAACTGACTGGTGGGGAACGGGAGCTTTAGCTATGACTATTATGTATGCATTTCTATAACGTTATCTAACAACAATGGTGTGTACTGTTTACAAAATCATGTTTGTAATTCTAATGTGTTGTATGGTTGAAAGCATTTGAAAAGGTTAGATTTTAATGTTTTGCACATTTGAAAACATCCGAAAACAATAAGTTCTTAGTACAATTGAAAACACCCGAAAATCATTTTGTTTTAATGTCTTGTACATTTGACAACATCAGGGAGCATCTACATTTGAAAACACCCGAAGAACGTTAAATTTTAACGTTTTGTACGTCTAAAATCATCTAAAAAATAAAAATTCGATTAAAATTCTCGACGTCAGAACAACATTTGAATAGCAAAATTTTATTTCACGTTACATCTAAATAGCAATGTTTTCTAATGTTTGATGCCAGGAATATATTTTATTTCGATGCTGATGTAGACATCAAACGTTAGGCAAACGTAAATTTTTATTCGGGTTCCCCCGGGACACCCGGAATATGTCCGGATGTGGCCAAAGTGGTTCTTGTTCTGGTTCTTGTAGTGGTTTGAGTTCCATTGAACCAGAAATTGAATTCTGATGTATTTTGATGAGTCGCATGATGGGTTTGGCCATAATCAGATGTTGGCCTCTTCCCCCGGGACACCCGGAATGTGTCCGGATGTGGCCAAAGTGATTCTAGGAACTAGATTTGAGTTCCATTAAACCAGTCGTTGAATTCTCATGTAATTTGATGTGTCGCATGATGGGTTTGGCCCTAATCAGATGTTGGCCTCTTCCCCCGGGACACCCGGAATATGTCCAGATGTGGCCAAAGTGGTTCTAGGAACTAAATTTTAGTTCCATTGAACCAGAAATTGAATTCCCATGTATTTTGATGTGTCGCATGATTTGTTTGACCCTAATCAGATGTTGGCCTCATCCCCCGGGACACCCGGAATATGTCCGGATGTGGCCAAAGTGGTTCTTGGAACTAGATTTGAGTTTCATTGAACCAGAAATTGAATTCTCATGGATTTTGATGTGTCGCATGATGGGCTTCACCCTAATCAGATGTTGGCCTCTTCCCCCGGGACACCTGGAATGTGTCCGGATGTGGCCAAAGTGGTTCTTGGAACTAGATATGAGTTCCTTTGAACCAGAAATTGAATTCTCATGTATTTTGATGTGTCGCATGATTTGTTTGACCCTAATCAGATGTTGGCCTCTTCCCCCGGGACACCCGGAATATGTCCGGATGTGGCCAAAGTGGTTCTTGGAACTAGATTTGAGTTTCATTGAACCAGAAATTGAATTCTCATGGATTTTGATGTGTCGCATGATGGGCTTCACCCTAATCAGATGTTGGCCTCTTCCCCCGGGACACCTGGAATGTGTCCGGATGTGGCCAAAGTGGTTCTTGGAACTAGATATGAGTTCCTTTGAACCAGAAATTGAATTCTCATGTATTTTGATGTGTCGCATGATTTGTTTGACCCTAATCAGATGTTGGCCTCATCCCCCGGGACACCCGGAATATGTCCGGATGTGGCCAAAGTGGTTCTTGGAACTAGATTTGAGTTCCTTTGAACCATAAATTGAATTCTCATGTATTTTGATGTGTCGCATGATTTGTTTGACCCTAATCAGATGTTTACCTCTTCCCCCGGGACACCCGGAATGTGTCCGGATGTGGCCAAAGTGGTTCTTGGAACTAGATATGAGTTCCATTGAACCAGAAATTGAATTCTCATGTATTTTGATGTGTCGCATGATTTTTTTGACCCTAATCAGATGTTGGCTTCTTCCCCCGGGACACCCGGAATGTGTCCGATCTGGCCAAAGCGGTTCTAGAAACTAAATTTGAGTTCCATTGAACCAGTCGTTGAATTCTCATGTAATTTGATGTGTCGCATGATGGGTTTGACCCTAATCAAATGTTGGCCTCTTCCCCCGGGATACCCGGAATGTGTCCGGATGAGGGTAAAGTGGTTCTTGGAACTAAATTTGAGTTCCATTGAACCATAAATTGAATTCTCATGTAATTTGATGTGTCGCATGATGCGGTTGACTTAGCTTGTAAGATATTATTGTTAGGTTAAGATCTATTTAATAAAAAAAACATGTTAGTTATAAGAAAATGAAAAATAAAATTTATTGATGAAGTCATGTTTATGCTTCAACTGTTTTCATTTTTATTAATTTAAAACCCATTGAAAAAGAAAATGGTGGTGAACAATCGGGAGCGCGCCGGGGCGCCTGGGGGCGGACAAAATGGCCGAAACGATCAGTTTTTTGACAGGTATCGTTTTCGCCTCAGGCGCCCAAATGTTGCAAATATGGTCGCCCCCGGCGCGCCGCGAGGTTCGAGTCGCCCAAGTCCGCCCCGTCCGCCGAGCGGTCCGGGGGCGAGCCGTGGGCGACTAGCCCGCTGTATGTGGGTATTCGCCAATAAAAATGTGTCGAATTTTATCAGTGCTCCATTTACTCGATTTACTCACAAACTGAGTGACTCAACTTTGCAATTCGATTCGACTCAATTTGAGTGATCAGAGATCGCCCAATTTTACCGATGGGTCCATCATCTACACACGGTAAAGCCTGGTACGCAGCTGAAAAGTAATGACGTTTTTATGTGCTACCGGATAGGACACGGAATGCAAAAGAAATTACTTTTTCTCAGCATTTCTTGACCAAGTACGCAGTTCAAAAGAAATCGGTAAAGGAAAGATCGATTACATTAGTATCGTGATCGACATGAAGGTGGCGCATTCTGAATGCAATTTCACTTTCCTTGCGGAATAATGGTCTGATGGCGTCTTGCAGTGAAACTTTTCCAAGCTTTCGCCACCTACATTTCGAAGTGAGAACTACTAGAAGGAGGATAGTTTCCAAATTTTCCAAGTAAAACAGACGATTTTGGGGCAAATCGGTACATAAAAAAAAACTAATAATTTCCGGTGGAAACTTTTGCTTGAATCGTGTAAGAAAACGTGTTTGCAAACTAACTTTTATTATTTCGGTATGGATCGGAGATGTTTTCATGGAAAATTATGCATAACAAGTTTGCACCCACAGGTAGAGGTTACCTCCTGCGCAGCTGCATTTTTCAGAAAATGGTGAATATGTGTGATTTCCACTAGGATGAAAGTGGAAATTAAGTGAATTTACTTAGGAAAGATTGTATCATGCTGGTGATAATGGAGAAATGGTTGTATAGGACGCCAATATTCAATAAATGTTCATTTTGGCATTTTTTAGGTAAACATATTGATACTCACAATTTTCGACGGAAAACGCAACAGAACTTGACTTACTCAACACGCACCATACTATAAAATGGTGCTCGATGGTTTATAAAGTGATAACGAGATGACAAATCATCTTTATTTTGAGTAATTGAGCAATTTACTTCTGTTTACATCATATGTGCGATGCAGCATTGATGGAGCTGTGAAATGAAATGGATATATCTTATGAAAGTTCATCTGGAATAGTCAAAGATGCACATCAGTCTGATCGTGAAAACATTTTCTTCTTCAATTCGAATGTTATATTGTATGGATTTTACGCAGGCTTGATGCAAATTATGATTTAAGGCTAATTTTCACTAATTTTATATGCAGTCTGTCAACATTATCATCATCATGCAGTGGCGGCATCTGCGTCGAGCTTTTACGGCAATCTTCCAATTATTCCGTTAGGTAATGTTGGCGTTTATTGCAAAACTGATGTTTTGGATGCATTTAAACCGAGGGGGACGACTCTATCTACGATGCAGAAAAGATTGTGTTTTGCTGTGGCTAGCTGCACGCACGCTGAGTAGATAGAAGGAAGATTTATGTCAATTTTGAAGATTTCCTGCAAAAAGATGAAGCACGATGCAAGTAGATGCGAGAAATGAAAGATGATTTTTCGAGGATTGATTCGCTAGGGTGAGATTTTTTGAGCATGTAGAATTGAGATTTAGATGTGTCGTCCCCCTCGATTTAAACAACATAAACACTAATAAGTGTTGATTTTACAATTTGACAACATCTCCCTATAATCTCAAAATTTAAAAATCCTCAAAAATTACTTTTCCGTTTTCTTTTCAGCTGCGTACCAGGCTTAACCAGCGTAAACACATTAATGTGTAAAAAAATACACATTTTTTATGTTTATATGCAGCTGTCAAAAAATGTGTAAATTAGGAGATCCTAAAATGTGTGAAAAAATACACATTTTAAGAATGTAGTACCAGTCAAAAATGTGTATTTTAATACTCATTAATGGGTAAAAAAAACTTCAAAACTTGCTGCATACTGCTTCGTTGATGCACGCCATTTGCCTAAGCGAATAAATTTCAGCAATTTTAGGCAAAGGATGAGGAACTACGTTCCAAACTTTAAAGAGCAACGATGGACAAGCTAGAGGGTAAGTGGTTTATATTATTTTCATAGCTTAGCCCTAGAAAAAAAAACATTTTTAAGTTTTTCATTGCCCGCTGTCTGGCTGTGATTTTTTTTTTAATTAAATTGTATTGAATCCGAGCAATCTTTATTTAATCAATGGCACAAATAATTAAACTCCATTCGTCCCCATCATATTAAAATTCTATAAATGATTACTTTTTACACATTTTGCAGTAAAAACCATACTTGAAAAATGTGTAAAAAATACCTCCCTCCATTTACTCGATTTACTCACAAACTGAGTGACTCAACTTTGCAATTCGATTCGACTCAATTTGAGTGATCAGAGATCGCCCAATTTTACCGATGGGTCCATCATCTATCACCATGTGCTAATCATTGAAGAACATAGACAAAAAAAACAAAGAATTTTATTAAATTGTAAATTTATGCTGTGTGCTTCCCACAAATATCATGGAGGTAGATATTCAAAATATTGTTACAGATTCTGATCAGCCCAAGCCCAAGCCCAAAATTAAGAAGGAAGTTCGTAAAGTGTTTGTACCTCGTTCCAGGTAATGTATCTTAAGTTCAAAATGCGCAGCGGTTAATATTTTTACGTTTTTCCTATAGGCAATCAGCATTAAAAGAGCAATGGATGAAAATCTTTACACCAGTTGTTGACCAGCTTCTACTGCAGATTAGGTACAACGTAAAAAGCAAACAAGTGGAAATCCGCCTTGGACCAGAAACGAAGGAGCCGTCCAACTTACAGAAAGGAGCTGATTTTGTTCGGGCTTTCGTGCTCGGCTTCGAAGTCGAAGATGCCCTAGCATTGCTGAGACTCGATGACCTATTTGTAGAATCGTTTGAAGTAAATGACGTTAAAACGTTGAAAGGTAGCTTATTTACATATGGCTAGCTGTACATACATAATTTTTAACATGTTTTATGTTACTAGGGGACCATTTGAGTCGAGCGATTGGTCGATTAGCCGGCAAAGGAGGACGAACTAAATTTACGTTGGAGAACTCAACTAAAACACGCATCGTTTTGCAAGACTCCAAGATACACATCTTAGGAAATTACAAAAACATTCAGCATGCCAAGCGTGCCGTCAGTCATCTGATCCTTGGTTCACCTGCCAGTAAGGTTTATGGAAACTTGCGGACTGTTTCAAATAAAATATCTGATCGAATGTGATTTTCTTTTGTTTTGTAATAAATTAGCTCAAAATGTATTATGTTTAGTTTTATTTTACCATTAGAAGAGCTCTCCGCGGGGATTTGAGTGAATTGTTTTACTCCTCACAATTTGTTGAGAAAGAAATTTACATCCATTTCATGTTATTACGTTTTGTTTTCGGTGCACATTAACTTAAAATCGTTTAAATTAATTGGAATCTTGTATGACAGTTTGAAGGAATTGTATTTTGTATTCTTTCTGGATAGATGGTTGTTTTTACACGCATTTAAAATTAAATTTTAAAAATAAAGCTTTCCGCCGGTCTGCTGCTGGTACACTTCGATCGTATCTCCTTCTTCCATTTCCAGCGTTGTCGGGGTATCATTTTCGTTGATCGGCTGGCCATCGAAGCGGAATCGAACGACCTGCATGGACAAGCCCTGCAATATATATTTATATAAAATCAGATAAATATCGACATCCAAACGATCATAATACTGTTCTGCGATCTGGTAAAGAAAAATAATTACGCACACCAATAAGCTTCTATGTTAACAAGCGTGAGCGCACACATAGAAGTCGTTGACAGGGTCGATTACACACTGCCATTAACAATGCAAAGGATTTGCCGGAAGTTTCCACGAAATTTAAGACAAAAAAAACTTACCGCTCGATCGCAGTAGGCGTTCATCAGTTTCCTCAGAGGAGTGTGTTTCTTGATTTTGAACTGCACCACGGCATTGTCTTGACCCAGCACCTTCAAGTTGATGTGCTCCGATTCGGATCCCTTAGAGTCCTGTAGGAATGAAAAAAAAAGCAATCAGCTCTTCAGTTTGTTCCACTTTACGAACACTATTGTAGCCTGGAGATTTTTTTAGAGTGCGCCATTGTACGGCGTCCTCTCGCCACTAGCACTTTTTATGCTCCAATTGTCATTTCTACACTTTCAACTACACAATTCCTCTTACCTTCTTTTCTTCAGACATTTTGGAGTTCACTGAAACTGTTCAATAAAAAGAAACAAACTTTAAAACTTGTAAAACCCTTAACAATCCGCGGCTTGGAAACTGGACTCGCACGTTTTCACCTGCAGTAGATTTTTCCTCTGCGTTCGAACAAGGCGAATGATGGCTGCTGAATAGATGGCTGCCAATGATTTTCTGCTGAAAAATTGGCGTGATGCCGGTTCGGCGGCAGGCTTACAACGATTTCGTGTAACGGAGAAACTGCACGAAAATGCCAAGGTTTATATAATAAAGTATTCCAACACGAAAACATCCAAATTTATAACGCTACACGCTAACTTCAGCTTACTCACCCAGTGAGTCGATCGTACATGGAACCGAAAAATTACCCAAAAATAAGTTCTTTTCACTGTAACCAGCGTAAACACATTAACGTGTAAAATTTCACACATTTCGTGAAAAAAGGGACCTACTCATAAAATGTAACGTCAATAGAATTGCATTTTTTACACATTTTTCAAGAACGATTTTTACAGCAAAATGTGTAAAAAATCACCCACATACAGCGGGCTAGTCGCTAACGGCTCGGCCCCGGACCGCTCGGCGGACGGGGCGGACTTGGGCGACTCGAACCTCGCGGCGCCACTTGGTCCAAATTTGGCCGGCGCGCCGGGGGCGACCATATTTGCAACATTTGGGCGCCTGAGGCGAAAACGATACCTGTCAAAAAACTGATCGTTTCGGCCATTTTGTCCGCCCCCAGGTGCCCCGGCGCGCTCCCGGTTGTGCACCACCATTTTATTTTTCAATGGATTTTAAATTATTAAAAATAAAAATAGTTGAAGCATGAACATGACTTCATCAATAATCTTTATTTATCTTATTCTTATAACTAACATATATGTTTTTTAAATAGAAGTTAACCTAACAATAATATCTTACATGCTAAGTCAACCGCCTCATGTGACAAATCAAATTACATGAGAATTTAATTACTAGTTACTCAAATCTAGTTCCAAGAACCACTTTGGCCACATCGAGACACATTCCGGGTGTCCCGGGGGATGCAGCCAGCATCTGATTAGGGTCAAACCCATCATGCGACACATCAAATTACATGAGAATTCAATTTCTGGTTCAATGGAAGTCAAATTTAGTTCCGCTTTGGCCAGATTGGACACATTCCGGGTGTCCCGGGGGAAGAGGCCAACATCTGATTAGGGTCAAACCAATCATGCGACACATCAAAATACATGAAAATTTAATTTCTGGTTCAATGGAACTCAAATCTAGTTCCTACACGGATAGAAATCTCCTTATACCTTTTGGCAAATTTCTATTGCTGATTATTCATAAAATGTATAAGTCAACTAATAAGCAGACGCCTTGCAAAACGTTAATGAAGCTCATGTGTCAAATGAAATGTATAAGTGGTCACACATACCTTTTATGCATTCTTGTAGGACCTATGTGGTTTGTATTATGGAATATATAAGGCTGATGCTTTGGCAAAAATGTATAAGTGAAACACATGAATAAAATAATTGATTTTCGTTTCGTGTAGAACCACTTTGGCCACATCCGGACATATTCTGGGTGTCCCGGGGGAAGATTCCTGTTTCAGAAAAAGTGGGAAATACTGTAAAATATCCATAAATATGGGTATTTTTAGAATTGGGGTAATGACTAGAGGCCGCTAATCAATATCCGATGAGATTTTGAAATCAAAGATGGTGGCTTCTGGTTCAAGAAAAAATGGGATTACTGTCAATTATCTATAAAATGGGTATTTTTGGGATCGGGTGACGTCTAGAGTTTGGACCTATAACCGACGCCAATTTGAATTCCGAGATCCAAGAAGAGGTGGCTTCAGGTTTCAGAAAAAGTGGGAATTACTGTCAAATATCAATCAATATGGGAATTTTTGGAATCAGGTTGTCGTCTAGAGAAAATCGATATTCGATGCCATTTTGAAATCAAATGTGACGGCTTCCAGTTTCAGAAAAAGCCGGCGCCGGTGGTGTAGAGGTAAGCGTGACTGCTTTCTAACACCCCAATGGGTCTGGGTTCAATCCCAGTCGAGGTCGGTGGGATTTTTCTGAGGCATAAAAATCTCTGGTCACGTCTTCCTTCGGAAGGGAAGTAAAGCCGTTGATCCCGGCCCATGTGTGTTGATGAATGGGTGCGATATCCTACGCAGGTGTGGAAGCTGCCTTCCTGCACATTCGATTGCCGTCAATGGATGGCAACCGATGTCCGTCGGTGATTGGCACTAGATTGCGGAACAGAGACCGACGTTAAATAAAGGAAAAAAAAAGTTTCAGAAAAAGTGAAAAATAATTTCAAAAGTCCATAAATATGGGTATTTTTGGAATTCGGGTCACAAATAGAGGCCAAAAATCAAAGATGGCGGCTCCTGTTTAAAAAAAAAGTGGAAAATACTGCCAAACTCCCATCAATATGGATATTTTTGGAATCGGGGTGACGTTTTGAGGCCGTAAATCGATGTCCAACTCCATTTTGAAATAAAAATGGCGGCTTCCAGTTTCAGAAAAAGTATAAAACACTGTCCCATCACTATGGATATTTTTGTCACCCCGAATAGAAGGCACAAATTGATATCCGACACCATTTTGAAATCCAATATGGTGGCTTCTAGTTTCAGAAAATTTGGGAAAAACTTTCAAACACCCATCAAAATTGTTATTTTTGGAATCGGGATGAATACTAAATAGTAAAAATTAATTCAAAATTTAGTTAAAGTGAAGTGAAAGGTATGATAAAGCTAATTAAAAGTAATGATAATTTTAAGTTGAGTTGAGTTTTAGTTGAAGCTAACCCTAATAAAAAATTACCATAAACGAACGATAACCCGAATTATCGAACTATTCTACAAATGGTTTGGATGATACCCCGAACACATCGTTAAGAAAATTAACCATAACATTTTTATGTGGGAAGTTAAAGAAAAAGTAAATTTAAGGTATTATTAGTTATTGGTTTATTTAAAGTTTAACTAATGATGTGTTAAAGTTTAATTAGAGCTATAAAAAAGTTAAATTTAAGCCAAGTTAAATTTACGTTAGTTTTCAGTTCAAGTTTAGTTAAAGTTATGTGAAAGTTTAAGTTAAAGTTGTTAGCTAAAGATATGTAAAAACTATGTTATAGTTCTGTTAAAGTTAAGTTAGTTCCCAGGAACTTCTATGTTGTTCTTGGAAGGCTGGAAACTTCTTTTCTTTAAGTCCAGCCTAACTCCGATTTGAGTATTACGTAACATAAATATAACTTCTAACATAACTAAGATTTAACTGTTTTCTTAATTTAAGTTTATTTTAGCTTTCACTTAACATTTACTAAACGTTAGTTATATTAATCAATTTTGACTTAACTTTGACTTGATTTTAACTGAACAGAACTTCCAAGATGTTCAAAGAATGAAGTTTCTCTGAAGTTGCCTGGAAATAACTTTCACATAACTTCAACTTGACTTTATCATAACTAATGAAATTTAAACATAACTTCAAAATATCTTTAGTTAAACTTTAGCTTATCTTCAATTAAACTTTAACTAAATACACCTTAAATAAACATTCACTTTAATTTAACTGCCACTGAACATTAACTTATCTTTAACATAACTTTAACATTACTTTAACTTAACTTTAACATATTTTTAACTTACCTTTTACTTAATTTTAACTTAATTTAATATTAACTTTCACTAAATTTTAACTTAACTTTGACTTAATTATTACTCAGCTCGATTTTATGTAACTAAATTTCAACTTAACTTTAATTAAACATTAACTTGTTAAATTAACATAACTTTAATTTCAACTTAACAGTAACTTAAATTTAACAAAATTTAGACCTAATCTTAACTTAACAAGAACATCCAAGTGAAATGTAAAGAAGTTTAAAGAAGCTCCATAAACTTGCAAAAAGTTAAATAAAATTCAAGATGTTTCAAGAGATTTCAATAACTTCCAAGAGCTGAAGTATTCCTGATGTGCTCTGAAAGGATCCCTGAAGTTTCCTTGTAATATGTTCAACTTCACTTATTTATAACTTGTACTGCAATTTGACTTAACTCTAACTTTAGTGTCAACAAATTCTATAAAAATTTAAACATAGCTTTAGTTTAAGTTTAACATAACTATCTTAACTTTAACCAAACTTTAAATTAACCTCAACTTTAGCTTCAACATGTCTTACTTAACTTCAACACATACTTAGCTTAAGTTTAATTAACTTTTAACATATTTTTGCTTTAACTTTTACTAAACTTTAACTTAACCTTCACTAAACTTTAACTAATGACTAACTTAAATTTGATTTAATATTATCATAACTTGAGTTTAGCTTTAACTAAACTTTATTATATTTTTTAAACTTCAACTCATTAATTTATCGTAACTTTGAATTAGTGTTGACTTAACTTAAACTAAATCTTCACTTAACTTTAACTTAAATTTGTCAAAATTTGATCCTAACTTTATGTTTAACTTAGCTTAAACTTAACTTGAACTTAACTTAAACTTAACTTAAACTTAATTAAACTTAACTTAAACTTAACTTAAACTTAACTTTAAATTAACTTTAACTTTACTTTTACTTCACTTTAAATTTACTTTAACTTTACTTTAACTTAGCTTAACATTGAAATAATTTCAATATGGCTTTAACTTAACTTTAACTAAACCTGCATTTGCATAAATTTTATCTTGATTTTATTTTTTAGTACACATAAGCAAATATTATAAAATTAACAATATGGTTCACTCTTGTATTATCCCCAAGACACGATTTTTCCCGACACTACACTGAAACAAAGACCATAGTTAGGAATACTATTTTGCAGAAAAAAACTTATTTTCAGTATAACTACGCTTAATACTGTTAAATCTACCATGATTTCAGTATAGTTGACTATAAATATACTCAAATTCACTACCATTCTGTAAAAAGTACTGTGCTTACTCAAACGGCATAGTAATTTGATACAAAAAATAGTAAAATTAAATGAATTTCGTTTCTGCAAAAATTTATTGGTGGGAGTATTTAATTTAAACCATCAATATAGTATTCTTGCCAATGGATTTTGCTCGGGATTTTGTTTCTGTGTAGCGGCTCTAGTGACGCGAAAGGCGACTAGTACACTGTAAATTGAGCGTAACAAGGCTATCAAAAACAACTCACTGTTGAGTA